ACTCCCAAACAAAGCCTAAGTGACTCGTTATTTTCCTCAAATAAAGCCCCTGATAGAATTGTCAATCGCATTTTAACGAGGCTGAGGCAACAACTTCTACATGGGATAAATCAGGATGGAGGTTTGTTAAGTGTGAACACCAACTATAGGTTTGGATTATCGATTAAGTGTGTCTGCTTAATATGAGTGAATGAGTATGATCCATCTAAAATCCTTTCTTTTGGTACTATATCTTTGTATTTATAATGGTTCTCATAAGTGGTTGTTGATAAATATCATGAGTAGGGAGTAGTTCTCGTAGTGATGATCGTGTCAGTTACATATATCGTGGCTTTAGCATTGCAGAGCGGGAAAGGATCGTGATTTAAACCCACGATCCAAGCTCTTATCCTATAGTTCGGATTCATGGCCTAAGATATTAGTAATGTGTGCTACTCCGGGTTAAAAGGTCTTGGGCCAATGCTTGGATTGTAACTTGATGGGACTAACCGGATTAATGAACCTGTTAAAATAGAAGAAATAAGAATCAAGCACGCAACTCTATTCAAAAACTTCCATTTCCAAGAAGACAATGTTCCTTGGATTTTCTCCACAATGAAAATTGAAAATCACCCTTCCTACGTTTCCTTTTGAGGAGAGGAAAACCAAGATACTTACCCAATAAAGCAAATACAAGACTTAGAAGTCAATTTGTGCTTCTTCTTTCTAGTCACCCAAGAAGAGCACAACTCTAGATTTGTCCAAATTCATTTTCAATCCAAATGCTTTGCAATTATCCTTAAACACCTCACCGATAAGATACAGATATGCGTTAAAACGTAAAACAATATACCTGATTTGTAGTAACCAAAAACAGTATGCAGGACATCAATATTCATTTCTTTTTGTCTATCTTAGAAAAATGAATTCCCTTAAGTGCTAATCCAAGGTTTGAATGCATCAGTATCTCATTTCATTCTGTCTATCTTAGAAAAATAAATTTCCTTTTAAGTGTTAATCCAAAACTTAAAAGTGTATATGATTGAAATCAAAACAATTAAAATTAGATCAGACGGGCCGGTTCAATCGGGTCAATCAAAAATTGGATCATTAATTGGTCCGCTAATAGATCATTTAAGCAAGTAAATCGGTACGAATCACGTGAACCGCCTTATAAATTAGATTTAACCGGCATCAAACCAACACCAATTTTCTAGTTGAATTAATTTTTATGTAAAAGTTTTAATGCTTACATTGTTTGAGATGTGAAGTGAAAATGGATAATGTTAAATAATTACCCGATGGCGTCAACCACCTATTCGAATTTAATAGCATTCATTGAAATAAAATTGTTCTTTTAAACACGCCTATTTAACTACTACTCAATTCTTAATTAAACTATTGTAAAGAACCTTGTGTTGAGATATATAGTCTCATATTGGTTGTATGAGCAACTAATGTGGCTTTTATAAGGTCTTAGGCACTCTTACCCCTTGAGCTAGCTTTTGGGGTGGTGTATCCAAGGTTCTTTACATGGTATCAGGGCTTGAGTGACTACAATGTCACAAGTTCGATCCTAACGGTCCCCCGCTTTAAAGTGGAATTAAAATAAAAAACACAAAAAAGATAAACCAAAAATTGGGTATGTGCAGTTCCACGCTTCTAACCCAAATGGCTTTTGCGTGAGGGGGCGTGTTGAGATATATAGTCTCACATTAGTTGTATGAACAACGAATGTGGCCTTTATAAGGTCTTGGACACTCCCACCCCTTGAGCTAGCTTTTGGGGTGGTGTATCCCAAGGTTCTTCACAACTATAATAAATGTTTGAGACTCAAAACGGAATAAAGTTAAAGAGTAACTCTCCGAAAAATTGTTAGATAAACACCATGTTGGGATGCTTTGCTATTAATTGAATTGAACAAAACAAATAGAGATAGGTTGGAAATGAAAGGGAGGGAAAAGCTACCTTTTTCTTTGTTTGGAAGACAAGGGAACAAAATGCAACTTCATGATCTAACTTGAGTTAAATAAAAAAAGAATAAAATAGAATATAAAATGTGTATTTTTTTAATCTGTAAGTTTATTTCCATGTATTTCACCCCAATTTTTTTTTGGAAGGGGGGATTCAGTATTTGAGAGAGAGAAAATCTGCTTTGATCCGTCAAAGAGATATTGAGCATGACCACAAACGATTGAACCTGGTCCAATTGGAGTCTAGGGTGAATTTGTTGGAATTAATTATCTTTAGGAACAAAAAATTTAATTTGGAAAAGGTGTGTTTTTTGTCGTCGAATGGATGTATTATTTCATCGTCGAATATGTGTCCTTTCAATCGTGACCTTACATTTTTTTAAGTAAATAAGGATTAAAATTTTAAGAGATGAGTTTTTCCCCTATTATTATTAGTACATTTTTTTGCATTTGCATTCTTCTATTTTAGTACAATTAGTCAAACATAGGTTGAGTTCGATTGAGCTATTCTATGTGAAAGTGTCATCACAAGAATAGAAATAATACGTTCTATCTTGGAAGATAATTATTCAGAAATCTTGGGCACCATAGAGAGGACAAAATTAACTTAAGGACACAGTGTCTAAAATTGGACTCGGATTTTTCTTTGTTGCATTCATATATTTTCTTATTGTACGCTTTAACTTTTTGTTATTGCATGTTTCAATTTCTTCTGTGTATTTCATGAGACTGCATTTATTCTTTGATAATGATTTTAACATCACTTTTCTAACAAAATCTGCATCATGATGAGCTTTGACACAAGATACTCCTACGAGATGATTGTATTGGTGTTTGAGGTCTTTGCTTAACTAGGACAGATGGAGGGAGATACTTGCAAGGTACTTTAACGCTCAAATCAATATTTGATCAATGAGCTTAACTTGGGATGGATAAAATGATCATATTTGAGCATTAAGCTTTCTTTGTATAGTGATGGTATGACCTCTTATGTTGCCTAAGTATTGCGACATTTAATCCCATTGGTGGATTCAAATAGTTTTAGTAGCCTATTTCGTTTATGGGATACTTGTTTGTGGGATATGCTTCTTAAGTTCAATTGGAACCACTTGTTTATCCTTTCATCATTGGCTATTTAGGAGGCTCTGAGCTAGGGGTGTTCATCAACTGATTCAAACCGATTCAAACCGCGGTGATCGAATCAAAAAATTGATAATCGAATAAATCAAAAATCGACAAAAAATCACAAATTTTAATTGAATTGGATCGGTTTTCGGATTGATTGATGAAAACCGATCTAATCCAAACCGATCCAATATATTAATTTCCCTCTACCTACTTTTGTCTTTTCTCAATCATAATCCAAAAATTTCTAAACCCAAGATCCATTAACCCATTAACTAAATCCAAGAAAAAATCTAGTCACATCTCTTCAATAAAATTTCATCTGTGTAGAGCTTTATAAACAAAATTTCATCTATGTAGAGCTTTATATCTCATTGCCAAAAAAAAAACTATATTATCATTTACCGATACTTTCGTATTTCCAATAAATAAATAAATTATAAAGTCAATATGTACAAAAAAATGTTATTTGCACAATAATCATGAAACAAATTTTTTAGGATTTTCAAAAAATCGAAAACTGATTCAATCCAAACTGAAAAAAATTGGATTGTATCGGATCGGATTTGAAAAAAAATCTAAATCGAAGGGATTTGATCGGATAATTTTTACTTCCAAAATCAATCTGATCCAGATCACGAACACCCCTATCTACATGCGTAGAGGTGATGTATATGAGGAATGTTTTCTTACTCCTTAACCCTTCTTTATTAAGCCTCTTGGATTACTAATTGGATTAGACCCTAAATCCTACTTAGTATAGATGCAGTCGTGCAGATCACACTTGAGTTTATTTATGTTCTTGCATCTTATTAAACTATAAAAGAAGAGAAATTATTTCTTTTTCTCTCATTTCCTTTTCATTCACTTTATTACCCGTCTGTCATCCGAATACAATTAAAGACTCGCGATTGAATTTATCACATATTTAACACAAAATAACCTATATGAGATTCGATGTTAGCTCAAATATTATTCAGATACGAATTGAGTGATCAAACATTCTCAAAGAATAATGTTACATCACATGAAAACATATTTCACAAATGACAAACATAATACATACACTGTTGATATTTTTGATAAAGCAGTCAACAAAAGATAGGATCGTGTGTGAATATTATACATCGTCAACATTCTAGCTAAGTGGTTCAGTATGATTACTTTCGGATCATTCAGATAATCGAACCAGTGTTATGCTTGACAATATATTTATCTTTTGAAACATAATTTAAAATTAAAAGATACATTATAAAATTTAATAATAAATACTCCTCTTCATTATTTCCCATTCTTAAAATAAGAACTCGCTTTTACCAAAAAAAAATAAGAACTCGAATTCAATTGTGTCCAGCTGAATTCGAAGGTATCTTTATCATTATGGGCTTAACAATAAATAAATAAAAATAAAGAAAAATATATGTGTCATTTTAAAAGAAATAAAGTTATATTATTTTATGTGAAAGAAAAAAATAGATAATGAAAGAGAGAGCGAAAAAAAAAAAAAAAGAGTTTCACCTATTTATAAGAGTTAAATGACACAAATTATATTATTTAAAAGAGATAGGATCTTTTGACGTCGGTATTAAATTTAAAGTTTGACACCTCATCTGAGAATCATTAGATCAAAAAAGATCAACGGTTCTGATTTGTAAGCATGTGACACCATTGATTTTTTTTATCTAATGACTCTGAAATTAGGTGTCAAATTAGTGTAAGAGACTCAAAGGATCATACCTCTATTTAAAAAGATAAATATTTAAAAGAAAAAAAAAAAAAAAAAAGAGTACATGCGCTGGTACAGGAGAAGACAAGTTAAAATTGAAGACTAAATATTAGTATGACAATTGACAAAGGAGATGCACCGTTACCGTAAAGAAACGGTGGTCCATGAGAATGGTGGCATCCAGTGTAGGCCTCAACCTACGAACCTGTCCTTATAATGAGACGGTCACTTACGGCATTGCTTTCTCTCTCCACTCTCATCTGCACCACACCTTACTACACTCTTCTTCTCTGTTATTTTTTTTGGGTCTAAATAAAAAGAAATTTAGGGTTTTTATTTGGGGGGAAAATCGTAGAAAATAGGGAAAATATTCTGGAGAGTGTGTAGGAAACATGGTTGTCGATGATATGGGGAAGTGCATCATCGTCGGCTTTGGAGGCTCCTCTTCTTCTCGATTCTCTGATGCTTTTCCCAAAAGGTAATTCTTGAAGATCTCCTTTTATTGGGTCTCTGTTTCAAAGACTCTCTTTTTTTTTTTTATGGATTTGAAGGTTTTGATTCAGTGCTTTTCCCCTGATTTTGGAGGGTTTATGGAGATGTGTGGAATAGAATTAAATATAATTCTCCTATAGCGTTTTCGAAATCCCGTCCTCTATTGTATATATTGCTGAAGCCTATTTATTTATTGATTTTTAAAGAAAATAGAAAAAAAAAATTGCTTTTCAATAGGTTGGATTTTTAGCCTGGTTGGATTTGTTGATTTTTTTTTTTTTGTTCTGTCCAATTCAATTGATAAATCTAGGGTTTTGATGGAGGGGAGATATAGTGGGGATTGATATGATGATGAAGGTGTTTATAAGGTTGTTTTGTTGAATTGTTTTTGGGATATGGCAATATTGTACCGACCAGCAATAAAACTCATCAACGAGATGAGCTAGCATGGGAGATTCTTGTCTTGCTTCTTTGTCAATGGAGAATCATCACCCATCCACGCTCTTGTCAATGGACTCAAGTGCATCTTCTCATGAGGAACTGGATTTGGAGATGAACCGCCAAATCATACTCTCTCGTCCACCAGATATCAATTTGCCCCTCTCTGCAGAGCGTAGCCCCCCTCCACAGCCATGGAGTTCTGATCCTTGTGATATTTTGGATGTTGGTCTTGGTACTCAAGGATACGAGACTGAGAGTTTCCTCAATCTGCCAAAAGCTGCTGGTAGGAAATGTGCAAAGCGAGTTGATAGCATATGGGGTGCTTGGTTTTTCTTCAGTTTTTACTTCAAGCCTTCTTTGAATGATAAATCTAAGGCCAAGATTGTCCGGGACAGCAATGGTGTTTCAGGGTTTGATAAGTCTGATCTTAAGCTTGATGTTTTCATGGTTCAACATGACATGGAAAACATGTACATGTGGGTTTTCAAGGAGAGGCCGGAGAATGCATTGGGTAAGATGCAGCTGAGGAGTTACATGAATGGGCATTCTCGCCAAGGGGAGCGCCCGTTTCCATTTAGTGTTGACAGGGGTTTTGTTAGATCTCACAGGATGCAACGGAAGCATTACAGGGGACTTTCAAATCCTCAATGTGTGCATGGTATTGAGGTTGTTCCATCGCCCAATCTGATGTGCCTTGATGAGGATTTTCGGAAAAGGTGGATGGAACTCACTGGCCGAGATTTGAATTTCACAATCCCATCTGAAGCAAGTGATTTCAGCTCATGGAGAAATCTTCCCAACACAGACTTTGAGCTTGAGAGACCGCCTGTTCCAATCAAGAGTGCTCCAAATTCACACCCTAAGAAGCTGCTTAATGGATCTGGACTGAATTTGTCAACTCATCTATCTAACCACAGTAATGGTGATGGGTTGGACCTATCTCCTGTCAGCAGCAAAAAGAGGAAGGACTTTTTCCCTCATGGAAATGATGAAGAATGTTACTTGGCTGTTAATCCTCCATCTGATCGGATCCCAGATATAGAAATGCACCCAAGTGAGCCAAACTGGATAAATGACTTCAGTGGGGTGATAAAGAATGTTTGTGGACCTGTTACAGCTGCAAAAACTATTTATGAGGATGAAAAAGGTTACTTGATTATTATCAGTCTGCCCTTTGTAGATCTTCCAAGTGTGAAAGTCTCGTGGAGGAACACACTGACTCATGGTATCATAAAGGTTTCTTGTATGAGCACATCTCGAAAGCCTTTTATTAAGAGACATGATAGGACATTCAAGCTTACAGATCCATCGTCAGAACACTGCCCTCCTGGAGAGTTTGTCCGTGAAATCCGTCTTTCAACTCGAATTCCTGAAGATGCCAATATAGAAGCATACTATGATGGGCCAGGATCAGTGCTTGAGATCATGGTTCCAAAACATCGTGTGGGACCAGAAGAGCATGAAGTCCGTGTTTGCCTTCGCCCTCATCTGGGAGGGAATGATCCTTATGTTGACTTAAGATAGGCACTTATAAAAAAAAAAAATTGTTAGGGATGTTAGTATGGTGCGTATATCATCGTTTTCCTAACTTTGTACCGTAAAGTGTTATTTGTAATGCAAATGTGTGTCTTACATTTGTCTCTAGCAATTTTAGATCACTGACTGCCCTGGTTCTTTTTTTGTTCCGGTGCGTCTTTAAGCTTTTGATTGTAAGCATTATTAATCTTTGAACAGCCAGTTCAGATCATTTATAAGAAATTATCAAATCATACTTTTGAGTATTTTGTTATTCGATCTATACTTAGATATCTGATAGTTGAGTATTGTTCCGGGGCGTATTTCATTTCAATATACCCTATATTAGTATATTTGAGTATTGTGGAATATTGGCCAAAAGACCAAGTCAACACCGATTATCTGTTGAGTAATCTTGAAGCGCCTGTCACCCGTGGAAAATTTATTAGTGCTTTCATATGGTCCTTCCATTCAAAGGTAATACATGGATAAAAAATAATTTTTTATTTCTTCTCTCTTTTTAATAGTTGTATGATTTTTATTAGTTCTTACTGTTAAGATAATTATGGTCCGGAATAACTGAAATTCTTCTCGTTAACAGTGCAATAGCTTTTTCCTTTTTCCCCCATTGATGTGCAGATGCGTTGAAATTTGATATGTTGACTTAATAATAGAAGATATTTTGCATCTTCCATTATATGATTCGGGAATCATTCTTGTTCACACTTGGCCCTTTTCAATTGGGCCTATCATATTGTGCCTGCTTCAGGGAAAAAGACGTAAGGATAAAGGACTTGTTAGGGTGATATTTTGGGTATCAGAGAAGCAGAAGCACGCATTTGTTGACTAATAGATTAGTTACTTTGTTTCAAAAAAAAAAAAAAAAAAAAAAAGATTAGTTACCTTTGTGTGGTGAGAGTTTAGACTGCGAGGGATCAGATAGAGTGGAGTCGTGTTTCATTCATGTTGTTGGACAGTGCATGTCGTTTTCTATAAACAACTTTTTTTTGTTTCTCTTTATTTGGTTATTAATTATTTTTTCTCATTTCCGCGTATTAAACCTATCCTCCTTTGATGTACCGACCGATAGTGTGTGGTTCGCTTTTTAATTTTAAAATTCCGCCCGGTGCTTGACTCGACGGAGGTATGAAATTATTATATAATTAATTTAACTAATAGGTTATTGGTTTAATCAGTTTTAATTAAATTTATATTAAATTATATAATAAATATATTATAAGATGTATTTTAACCAATAATTAAAGATAATTTAGTGGTAAGTGGTAACACTACTCATTCTCATAGACTAAGTTTGATTATAAGCCTATGTCAAAAATGAAATATTTTGTCCAATCTTTGAAAAATCGATGTAAGGAAGAAAACAGCTTGACCCGCTGGATTTCATTTGACGCGCGAGTCACTGAGATTCAACCAAATCAACTAGTTGAAATTGGTTCAACTGCATAACCGATTCAATGGCCAGCTTGAACTGATTCCCTCACTGGGTTACCAAAACTAAGGTTGACCAGATCGGTCCGATCCAAGTTTTAAAACACTGGTTCGGTCACCTTTTTTTTTTGGTTAAACATTATATGAAAATTCCTTTTATTATTTCTCCATGTATGTTTATTTTGTGACAGATTTCTAATTAATTTTTTTTGTCTTTGTTTATCATATAAGAGATTAGTCTTTGTATTTTTAAAGGACATAAAATGATATTATTTTAATCAAAACTACAGTATTTTATTTTAAGAGAAAGAGTTACACAATAAAAATTATAATGGAAAAAAATGAAAGATTTTTTTAAATTCAAATATTAAATAAAAAACAATCATTTTAACTAAAATAATTATCCTTTAAAAGGACAAACATTATTTCCATCGTATAATAGTATCAAACAGTCATTTTTATATCAATTTTAAAATCATTTAATAAGTATATAAATATATATATATATATATATATATATATATATATGGCAAAATGATTTGTAAAGTGACTGCATATAAGCATTGGTGCAGTCACCTAAAAACTACGTCGTTTAGGTTGGGATAAAGGAACTTCGCGTTCAAAATTAATTATAGAAAATGAAAATATTATATTTATTTTCATCTTTGTATAGTTATGATTCTCTACAATTAATGCTTTATATTTATTTTCGTCTTTGTATGGTTATGATTCTACATATTTAATGCTTTCACACTATAAAATAACGTAGTTTTATATGACTGCACCAATCCTTAGGTGCAGTCACTGTACATCCGCTAAACCCTATATATATATATATATATATATATATATATATATATGGGGCAGGATATTCTTACACCGGTGTAAGAGTTAGAAGTTTTACACTCAATCTTTACTATTGATTCACTTGTATCCAATTGTTCACATTACTAAAAAATTTGAGCCTTTGTTATCAAAAAAAAAAAAAAAAATTGAGCCCTTAGATATAAGTGGGATAAACGGACAAGATTAAGAGTATAACTTACACTGGTGTAAAATGATCCTGACTTATATATATATATATATAGGGAAAAACATTTCCTTGAGACAAATTTATTCCGGCCACCCCAAAACTACGTCGTTTTGATTATTTGTTTCCTTATATGTATTGATTCACCTTTGAATGATTATGATTTCCCTTTTTTCTCTCTTCTTTTATCACCAATGATCCATCTTTGTACGGTTATGATTTAGTAGCCGGAGATAACTTTATCTCCGGTAGCTTGAGAAATGATAAGCCCATATATATATATATATATATATATATATGGAGAGACATTATTTGACTCCAAAGTAAGACTTATAAGTCTTACTCCTCATCTCAGCCCTTGATTTTTGTCCATCCAACGGTTATAGTTTAGGAAATCATAGTAATTAATTAATTATTAATTACATTGTAAATGACAACCGTTGATTTCTCCATCAACAGTTGAGATGAAGAGTAAGACTTAAAAGTCTTACTCTGGAGTCAAAAGAACACTCCCCTATATATATACATATATATAGAGAGAGAGAGAGAGAAATATTTCTCAAGTAGCTTGAGATAAGTTTATCTTCGGCCACCCTAAAACTACATCGTTTTATTTATTTATTTCCTTATATTAATTGATTCACCTTTGAATGATTATGATTTCATTTTTCTCTCTCTTCTTTTATCACCCTTCATCAATCTTTGTACGGTTATGATTTAGTAACCGGAGATAAAATTATCTCAAACAGCTTGAGAAACGATATACCTATATATATATATATATATATATATATATATATATATATATATATATATATATATAGGGAAAGATCAACTTACACCGATGTAAGAATAATAAATCTTATACCAAATCTTAATTGTTGATTTTCGTGCATCTGACGGTCGTAATTTATTGGGTCACACTAATTAATTAATTATTAATTCCTAATAAATTACAACCATTAGATGCACAAAAATCAACGGCTAAGACTTGGTGTAAGACTTCTCATTTTTACATCGGTGTAAGTTGATCATATTCCTATATATAAGAGGGATCGTTGGTGTATGTCAATCATGTCTATCATTCCATTCGTAGATATGGATTACATGACAACATATGACAAGCCCCTCTTTCTAAATCTTATAATCCTATTTTTTTGTGAATACATGCTTTAAAGCCAACTTTATATTATATTAAAACCAATCCTTCCAACCAAATAATATTGACACAAATGGTAAGGAGTTTGTGTCCCTTAACTAGAAGTTTCGAGTTTGAGCCTTGAGAATGAAAAAAATGATCTTACGAGAGCCACTCTCGATTTGGACACGACAATGCTTGAACCATACTATTCCGAAGGATAAATTGATTTAGGAGACTAAAAAAAATCAATCCTTCCAAAACATATTATATTAAAAAATTATGAAGTTATTCTGATCATGAATAAATTATTCTTCAATAACTTCTTTTTTTGGTATAACCTAGAAGAATCCTCATTCAACCTCCTCTGATCACCTTGTCCTCGAATACACTCTCCCTAATTCCTCATTCGAAGAGAGAGAACGTCCTCTGTTTTCCAAAAAAAATTCAAAAATTTACTTGAGACAAGATTTGAACACTTGACCCAAACAAACAGCTGAATTAACTCTCATTAGTTTGCATTCTTCGTATCCTAAGAGTTCAAAATTAATAACAATAATCTTTCACACACACAAAAACTCTTTAACATTGGAATAAAAAAAAAAAACTCTTTAACAAAGTAAAAATAATAGTGATTGATTATCAAAAAAAAAAAAAAAAAAAAATAATAGTGATGGACAAAGGAAGGCCCAGGGGGGCCCAACAGGCCCGGTTCGCTTTCCAATGCAGGCTTTAACCCACGGCTTCAGTGAGATGGTTCATCACGCTTCAGCTTCTTCCTCACTCTAATCTCTGTCTTCTCTGTTTCATTTTCATTTTGACGACTTTCGCAATAAAATAGTTTATTTATTTTTGTCAAAAATAATAAAATTAAAATTAAATAAGAAAGGGTCTAGGGTAGAGCTCAATGTTATGGATGATATGATGGAGAATAGCATCATCTTCACCATTGGTGATTCTTCGTCTTCTCCATTTTTCGATGCTTATTCCCAAAGGTACTCCTTGAAGATCCCCTTCCATTTTCTTTTTGTGTGTCTCAATTTCTAACTATAACTTTTTTCACTGAAAATATTAAGAATGATATTTTGTGTATAAAGATATAAATTTTACAATTTTGAAATTAAATCCATGATATGGTTAGGATTTTGTTGGGTTTTATTTTTATTTTCATTTTGTCAAAGTGGGTGTGTGAGGATTCTGTCATCTGATTCATAAATCTAGGGTTTTGATAATGGAGGGGTTGATAATGTTGTGGGGATTGATATGAATGATGATGGTGTTTATAAGGTTGTTTTGTTGAATTTTGTTTTTGGGATATGGCAATATTGTACCCACCAGCAATAGAATTCATCATCAACTAGATGAGGTGGTAGTCCAATGGGTGGTTCTCTTCTCACTTGTTGTTTGTCAATGGAGAATCATCACCCATCCACACTCTTGTCCATGGATTCAAGTGCAACTTCTCATGAAGAGTTGGATTTGGAGATGAATAGGCAAATCGTACTCTCACGTCCACCTGATATCAATTTGCCACTCTCAGCAGAGCGTAGCCCCCCTCCACAGCCATGGAATTCTGAGCCTTGTGATGTTTTAGATGTTGGTCTTGGTACTCAAGGATATGAGACTGAGAGTTTTCTCAACCTCCCCAAAGTTGGAAGGAAATGCGCCAAGCGACTTGATAGCATATGGGGTGCTTGGTTTTTCTTCAGATTTTACTTTAAGCCAGTATTGCTTGAAAAATCTAAGGCCAAGGTTGTTAGGGACACCAATGGTGTTTCGGGGTTTGATATTGATAAGTCTGATCTTAAGCTTGATGTTTTCATGGTTCAACATGACATGGAAAACATGTACATGTGGGTTTTCAAGGAGAGGCCAGAGAATGCATTGGGTAAGATGCAGCTGAGGAGTTACATGAACGGGCACTCTCGCCAAGGGGAGCGCCCTTTTCCTTTTAGTGTTGACAGGGGTTTTGCTCGATCCCACAGGATGCAACGGAAACATTATAGAGGACTTTCAAATCCTCAATGTCTTCATGGCATTGAGGTTGTTCCATCGCCGAATCTTATGAGTCTTGATAAGGATGAGCAGAAGAAGTGGATCGAACTCACTGGCCGAGATTTGAATTTCACAATCCCAACTGAAGCAAGTGATTTCAGTTCATGGAGGAATCTTCCCAACACAGACTTTGAGCTCGAGAGACCACCACCCTCGATCAAGAATGTTCCAAATCCACACCCAAAGAAGCTGCTTAATGGATCTGGGCTGAATTTGTCAACCCATCTGTCTAACCTCAGCAATGGTGACACGACTGACCTATCTCCTATCAACAACAAGAAAAGGAAGGACTTTTTCCTTTATGGGAATGATGAAGAATGCTACTTGGCTGTTAATCCTCCATCTGATCAGATTCCAGATTTGGAAATGCACCCAAGTGAACCACACTGGTCGAATGACTTTAGCGGCGTGATGAGAAATGTTTGTGGACCTGTTACAGCTGCAAAAACTATTTATGAGGACGAACAAGGTTACTTGATCATTATCAGTCTGCCTTTTGTGGATCTTCCAAGGGTGAAAGTTTCATGGAGGAATACTCTCACTCATGGTATCATAAAGGTTTCTTGTGTGAGCACATCTCGAAAGCCATTTATCAAAAGAAATGATAGGACATTCAAGCTTGCAGATCCATCCTCAGAGCACTGCCCTCCTGGAGAGTTTGTTCGCGAAATCCAACTCTCAACTCGAATTCCTGAAGATGCCAATATAGAAGCCTACTATGATGGACCAGGATCAGTACTTGAGATCATGGTGCCAAAACTACGCCCAGGATCAGAAGAGCATGAAGTTCGTGTTTGCCTCCGCCCTAATCTGGTGGGGAATGATCTCAATGTTGACTTTAGTTAGGCACTTATTAAAAATTATTGGGGTTGCCAGCATGGTCCGTAAATCATTGTTTTACTAACTTTGTACCATACAGTGTATTCTATAATACATGTGTTTCTTACAGTTGCCTCCCATTTTTTTTCCTTACTAATTGCGCTGGTTTTTGGGTCCTTGCATCTATTAGCTTTTGATTCTATATCTCTGAACATCCACTCCTAAATCCTCATCATTTGTATATATAATTATTAAATCTTACCATGCCTGTACTAGAACTTCTGGATTTAGTTGAAGTCTTTTTGTTTCCGAATGCACTTTTTTATCTTGTCCTCAGATATTAGATTCATTTTATGCCACACAAAACTATCTCCAATTTTTTATCGACTGTCTTCCTTCTGTGAGGAGAGGGGGGTTTCCTCCCATTGGTTCATTGAAATGATTCCCTCCCTCAAAATTCAGGAAATTTTTGAGTCTGATAGGTGTCGTTAATTTCTGCCACTATTATTAGAGTCGGTCTATGGGGTCACCCCCTTACAGGATAGAAAGTGTTAATACAACGGTTAATTGAAAATTATCTATTTCAATTTTTAATTAACAGATTATGAGGTGCCCTTACATCTTTTCTAACGTGTTGCTCGTCTGGCATTTTATCTCTACTCACAAACTTCACAAGCAGTTTACACTGTCAGTTGAACAACTCATAATGCGACAAATTTTTCGTTTCAACGTTGTAATGCGTACAATACTACATTCTTGTTTTTTTTTTCTGTCTAAATTAAACTTTGCTCTAAGATATTTCTCTCATTATTTATTATTTCTAGGTATAATATATGTGCTAGCATTATTTTATGGGAAAAGTGTGTATCATTTTAAAGATATAAAATTGTGTCATTTAAATGAGAGAAAGAAATAGCTAAAGGGGGGAGAGAGAGTGGACAAAAAAAAAAATATGGATCTCACCTCTTTGTGAGAGTAAAATGATATAAGTTGTATCATTTAAAATGACAAACACTTTTCTCTTATTTTATATCTAACAAATATACACGAATGTTTCACACAAAAACTCGCATATAGGACTGCAAGAGTGGGGCAAAAGTATAGCTCATCTGATTATCTTACGCTAATGACAACTACAAAAGCTTGTAATATATAAATTCTCCTTTAGTAGTAACACTCCCCTCCCCCTCTTGTGCTTTATGTACCCAAAAAATGATAAGATCATTCCGTATGAATATGACAATATATCCTCAAAGTAAGGGGAGTGATGTTATTGTGTTATATAACGTCACATCCTAACTATACAAGGTAAATCAACAATAATAATAACGAAAGGAAAAGGAAATTATTAGGTCAGGAACAACGAATTCCTTTGTGAAAAAAAAAAATTTTATTTTGCAAGTTCGTTATTATGGATAGTTCTTACAAATGATCGGACTAATGACTTAGACAATACTTGAATTCTCGATATAGATATTATATAGTTGGTTCTCATCTTTCAGAGACTACGAGTATAATAGGAGCATAAATTGATTAAATATTAAATAACATATAAGATTAGAGTTGTCAAAGCGGGTCAGCCCGCAAAATCTTATATTTGGCCCTAATCTATTGAGGCATCTTGTGATAGGATCTTTTTTAGTTCTAACCCTCAAAGCCCTATAATTTAGCGGGCTGGGTTAGGGCTGGCCCGCGGGCCAAATTTTTTCTTTCACTTTTTTCTTCATCAAAATTTTCATTATTTAAAAAATTAAAAATTATATAAATTTAAATAAATCATAAACATACAGGAAAGTTATACTTACAACTTTTTTTTTTACAGCCTCTTATAACCATATCTTAACACCGTTAATTTTCGTCAATCAACGGTTATGATTTTCGCAAATTAAACTCATTAATTAATTATTAATTCACAACAAATGATAACCGTTGATTGGCGGAAATCAACGGTGTTAAGATATGGTTGTAAGAGATTGTAAGTATAACCTACCTCATAAACATAATATAAGTAAAAATTGTTTTGAATTTAACTAAGAATATAAGAGAAAGTGAAATATGAAAGAAAGGAAAATGAAATATAGAAAAAAAATCAAAGGAAGAATAAGATAAGAACAAGTATGTGCTCTTAAGGTAAGAAAATATTATTATATTGTGAATTTACCAAGTATCACATTTTTTCATATAAGATATGTCCTTATATAAGACTCTAAAAATAATTATGGGAATAAATACATTCAACACATCATTAGTGTGATGGTTGTAGAATACATCAAAGGTCATGAAAAAAGAGAGTAATATGTTATGAATCCTATAAAAGATCATCGATAATATTTTATAACACTCTTCCTTGGATGTATTCTACAATTCAACACACCATTAGTATGATGGTTATAAAATACATCAAAGGTCATGAAAAATAAAGAGTCACATGGTATAAACAATGTGAAAAGTCATCCATAATATTTTACAACACTCCATGTTGGATGTATTCTACAATTCAACACACCATTAGTCTGATAGTTATAGAATACATCAAAAGTCATAAAAAAACAGAGTTGCATGTTATAAACCATGTAAAAGGTCATTTTCATTTATATTACAACAAAAATAAATTTTTCAGCAGTAATATGTTTTCTGCGTATCAATAAAAATAAAATTTTCTATTGACATTTTTTTTTATAAACATTTTCTATTGACTTTTAAGCCTGTTATATATCCAAATTTGTATTGAAACATATTGTATATAATGCACCTTAGTAATTTTGTGAATAATAATAACTAAAGTTTTTTTGTAATGGTAGTAGTTGAAGAAAATCAATAGTTTTACTTTTAAATATATATCATACTAAGGGCAGTTATTATTTTATTTTATTTTTTTGGTAACAACTAAGGGCAATTATTTAAGGGAAAAATGTTTCTGCAGTTAATGCAGATAAGTTATCTGCATTTATTCTCAAAACGATGTAGTTTTGGTATTAAAATCTTAAAAAATAATAAATATAAAAACTATTATAACCCTGAAATAAATTAAAGTTATAAAAACACCATGATTTCTGCCCAAAACGACGTTGCAGAAAAAGCGAACCCATTATTTAATACTAGTATTAAGATCATTTTTCCATATTTATTTTAAGTTTTCCACTAGAGTTGTTGTATTTTATGACTCCGGATAAGAAAATCTTTATTTGATTGCATCTTTTAATAATGAATTTAGTAAAAGTAGTAATTAAATTTTCATTTATATTATAATTTTGTTTATATTTTCACTTATATATTTATGTACAAATATTATTTTATTAAAAGAATCAAATTATAAAAAAAATTATAATTTGTATAAAATATGTTAAAAATGTGTTAAATATTTATTTGTTAAAATATCTTTTAATATATTGAATATAAAAAAAAATTATGAAATTATAATTTTGAAAAACTCGCAAACTTACCCTAACCTTTTGACCCATGCAGGTCTTTATTATTAAAATTTATTTGGTCTAGTGGACTTTTTGATCTTAATCCATATGGACTAAGACCTAATGGAACGACTTACCCATTTTGACAACTCTATTTCCACACTAACAGACCCAAAGAGTAAAAATGAAAAAGAAATCTATCAAAGAATATTGCACCTCGTGCTGAAATCTTAGAAATACATATCCAACCAAGCCAACTAGACTCCCAAAACATATCACTCACCTTTTCACAATCTTTAACGTCGATGCCCATGGCATTTTGGTTTCACTGCCGCAAATAAAGTGGCAATACAAATTATAAGTGAAGTCAAAGGAGCACAAAAATATATTCGATTTTCCTTGGGAAAATACACCAAACAAACGTTTTTTTAATAAAAGGAGCATTGAAAGAGGGATCTAATCTTGGGTCAGAAAAAAATTTCATTATGCATTCAATGCACATTTGATTAGAGACCGACCATTCATCCGTGGAATGATTCACTTTACACGAAATAAGTTTAAGAAATTCCACAGAAGTTAGAAATACTTCGTTAATAACCAGATGTAGAAAAACTCGGAAACAACTGAAACTAGTAAACTGCAGAACATGATACATCCCTGAAGACACGGAAATAACGTCAGGAAAAACTGTAAAAATAACAATTTAATAGCCTGTATCCAATAAAATCCAGGGAAAAATGACACGTTGTAAATAAAAACAGACAACATAAACAAAATACTGTCTCTGATCAAACAAAATACAGCCAAATATCGTCTCTGATCGAACAAAATACTCGCAACTAAAATCAAACGTAAAACGCATAAACTGGATGACTTCGAAAGAAGACTAAATCAACTAAATTTAGTCCACTTCCTCAATCTTGGGGCCAGCACCACTTCCGCCAGCAGGAGCATCATCATCCATTGCACCATCAACGTCCGGACCAGCACCACCTTGGTACATCTTGGCGATTATAGGGTTGCAGATGCTCTCCAATTCCTTCATTTTGTCTTCAAACTCGTCTGCCTCTCCAAGTTGATTGTTGTCTAGCCACTGGATGGCCTGCTCAATGGCATCTTCAATCTTCTTCTTGTCAGCTGGGTCAAGTTTTCCTCCAATCTTCTCATCCTTTATAGTATTCCTCATGTTGTAAGCATAGTTCTCCAGTGCATTCTTTGCCTCTACCTTCTTCTTGTGCTCTTCATCTTCAGACTTGTACTTCTCCGCCTCTTGAACCATCTTCTCAATCTCTTCCTTTGACAATCTACCCTTGTCATTGGTAATTGTGATCTTATTCTTTTGACCAGTAGTTTTATCTTCGGCAGAGACATTCAAGATACCATTGGCATCAATGTCAAAGCACACTGTAATCTGAGGAACACCTCTGGGTGCAGGAGGAATGCCTGAGAGTTCAAATTTGCCCAGCAAATTGTTATCCCTAGTCCTTGTTCTCTCGCCTTCGTAAACCTGGATGAGCACACCAGGCTGGTTGTCAGAATAGGTTGAGAAAACCTGTTCTTTCTTTGTTGGGATTGTAGTGTTCCTGGGGATGAGGACTGTCATCACACCACCAGCAGTCTCCAAACCAAGAGACAGTGGGGTAACATCAAGAAGGAGAAGATCCTGAACCTTCTCATTACCCTCACCACTCAAGATAGCAGCTTGAACAGCAGCACCATATGCCACAGCCTCATCAGGATTAATGCTCTTGCAGAGCTCCTTCCCATTAAAGAAATCCTGTAGAAGTTGTTGAACCTTGGGAATTCTAGTGGAACCACCAACAAGCACAACATCATGGACAGACATCTTGTCCATTTTAGCATCTCTTAAACACTTCTCAACTGGTTCCATACACTTCCTAAAGAGATCCATGTTGAGCTCCTCAAATCTGGCACGGGTAACGGTGGAGTAGAAATCAATTCCCTCATACAGAGAATCGATTTCAATGGTGGTCTGGGCAGTTGATGATAGAGTCCTCTTAGCCCTCTCACAAGCAGTCCTCAACCTCCTTAGTGCTCTGGGGTTGCCACTAATGTCCTTCTTGTTCTTTCTCTTGAACTCCTGAACAAAATGGTTGACCATCCTGTTATCAAAATCCTCACCTCCAAGATGGGTGTCCCCAGCTGTGGCTTTCACCTCGAAGATACCCTCTTCAATAGTCAGTAAAGAGACATCAAAAGTTCCACCACCAAGATCAAAAATCAACACATTCTTCTCGCCAACACTGGTAGCCTTCTTGTCAAGACCATAAGCAATGGCCGCAGCAGTAGGCTCATTGATAATACGCATCACATTAAGACCAGCAATAACACCAGCATCCTTGGTAGCTTGACGCTGAGAATCATTAAAATATGCAGGGACTGTAACAACAGCATTCTTGATTGTAGAGCCAAGATAAGCTTCAGCAATTTCACGCATCTTAGTAAGAACCATAGAAGAGATTTCTTCTGCAGCAAACTGCTTGTCTTCACCCTTGTAATTGACCTGGATCATTGGCTTATCCCCGGGTCCAGCAATAACCTTAAAAGGCCACAATTTCATGTCACTCTGAACAGAGGCATCACTTACTCTACGTCCAATCAACCTCTTGGCATCTGCAAGACAAACAAAGCATATTATAAACATATGCAATATGGTATTTCACATTCATAAATACAAATAACAAGAAGAAGAACAAAAGAGGAAAAAAAATGGCAACTTCAAGCACTAAAACAACAAATTAACAAAAGAACAAAAAATGCTGATCTCCAAGGTAATGTCTTTCCATTATAACAATTTAGGGACAATAGTTAAAAACATGAATTTGGTCAACCAGCTCAAGAAATAATATCTACAAATATGCTCCACTTAACACATGCTATCAAGTCTATATCCATATGTATAACAAATTATATGGCCAAAATTCTAACTGATTTAACGAGGATAACATCAAGCTATCACTTCATTGATTATTAAATATAAATTGCTTTAAGGAAGATAATTTCAGAGCCAAAAAATCTGTAGTAAAAAAAAAATGTCCGCAGACTCATCAAATAACTTATGTCAAAATATACATCAATATCATATCAAATACCGCAAGTAATGAAAAAATAAAGGCACATACATCACAAAATTTAAACATTTAAACCTAAAGATCTAACACGGATCACAAAAAAAAAAAAAAAAAAACAGTAAACACCATGGATCCATACCAAGTCACACACGCAAAATAAAAACAAAAATAAAGATCATAGTCATCAACGAAAACACGAAAACGTAGGCATTCTGCACATAAAATCACAGTACTAAAAATAACATCTTCACAAGAGAGCTACATGCTTGAACTAGAACTAAAGTAAAGTTGTACGGCAGATCTTACCAAAGACGGTGTTAATGGGGTTCATGGCGACCTGGTTCTTAGCGGCATCACCAATGAGACGCTCGGTGTCAGTGAATCCGACGTAAGACGGCGTCGTTCTGTTTCCCTGGTCATTAGCTATGATCTCAACACGATCATGTTGCCAAACACCGACGCAGGAATACGTCGTTCCGAGATCGATTCCGATGGCTGGACCCTCTCCTTTACCGGCCATGTTGTCGTGTTTGTTGTGTGGGCGAGTCAAAAAGAAGAGAGATCTGAGAGGTTTGCAACCGCAGCTGTGTTTTGAGGATGAGTGCACAGAGGACGATGCTCAAGGAAGTGTGGAGCTTATATACTAACCCTGTTAGGGTTTGCTATTTTTTTTTCCAGAATGTTCCATGACACTATTAGGAGCCGTTGGATGTGATTAGCGAATTTGGACGGTTGCAGTTCCTGGATCTTCGCTGGCGTGCTTGACTTGTTCCTTTCCCGCGCAACCCGGTGTTTGGATTTATTTGTGGGGAAAGCATGTGGCATCTTAAATGATGTAAAATTTATTTTAAGTAAGAGAAACTGATAAATAATGGAAGAGAAAGTAAAAACAAAAAAAAAATTTATTTATTTGTGAAAGTAAAATGACACAAATTATGTCATTTAAAATGACAAATACTTTTTTTCCTTTTTTTGGTAGACACAACACAAACACTTTTTCCTTTATTTATTTTTCAAAAAAACTTTTTTATTAAAAAAATATTTATAGTTATAAGTATTTGGATGTTAAATTTTTTAAAATATATAAATAGGATTAATAATTCTCATGATATAAATTAGGGATTTACATTTGTCATTTAACATGACACAACAAACTTTCCTACACACACAACATTTTGTGGGCCCACACTTTTTGAAAAAAAAATAATGAAAATTATGGCACGCAAAACGAATCTCTATAACATTACACAATCATTTTTCCTACAACATAATTCTTATAAAATCCTATAAATTATTTCCTACACATACACAAATATAAAAATGTGTGTGGTTCATATTATTTTTCTCCAAGTAACCCCACATGGAACTCACTTTAATGTGTGTATAAGAGATAAAAGTATCCCTTACAAAAAAAATATATTAATACTAATAAATATATATATATATATATATATATATATATATATATGGGGCAGAGTTTTCTTATACCGGTATAAAAATAATAAATCTTACACAAAATCTTAACCGTTAATTTCCGTGAATCTGACAGTTGTAATTTATTGGATATTAAAAATTAATTAATAAAAATAACTCAATCAATCTTAACCGTTTGATTAAGGGAAATCAATAGTTAAAATTGAATGTAAGATTTATTATTCTTATATCGGTATAAGTTAATTATATCTCATATATATATATATATATATATATATATATATATATATATATATATAGATAGATAGATAGATATATTCGTTTCTCAAGTCACTCCAGCTAACTTTATCCCTGACCATTAAATCATAATCGTACAAAGATGATCAATTAATATAAATAAATAAATAAACAAAACAACGTAGTTTTGAAGTGACCGAAAATAAATATATCTCCAGTGACTTGAAAAATAATTTTCTCTTATATATATTACTATTATAGATATGATGGTGACTATTGCGAGGTATAATGAATGAGTGCTTATTAGAAAAACAGAAGTCCCCAGGAAAAGCAAATATCATGTTTCTTTTAAAAGTTGAAATGATTTTAACTTTGGAATATATACTGAGGAATAAGTGCAATGGAAGGTAAGGAATGAACAAACAGAGTTTCCAGAATAGAGTTTTTAAGAAAAACGATTGAAACAATACATGTAGAAAGTGAGGATAATTCTTATTATGATAACTTGACATACGAATAACGCAAAACTTAGATTGTTCAAAAGAGTCATAAGATGAATGTGGGAGAAGTAAATAGGGTTTTTGTTCCGGTTATTATCCCAGATATTGTTAGTGGGCTCAGGCCCACTTCCTACGTCAGGGAAGTCCCCCTGATCACCTTTGGAAAAACCGCTTTAAGGCCATGACCATCACAACAATTGTTTTCCGGTATTAGTATAAATGCATGAACAATGTCCATCGGGACCAAACTTGATACCTACAACATTACACGATATATCTCAGCCTCAAAGCACACACCATCCCTATATATCATTGCCAGAGTTATCTCTTCCACTTGCTTCGCATATATAATTATTAGCCTATAAGATAGACATCGGTGTTCACCTTCGAACATTTGGGCCGTTTGTGGAGAATTGCATCTCTGGCAATATATCAGTTGTGCCGCTCTCGTTGGAGGATGAGGCACACAGGATGGCTTTGATATTCAATATTTGGCAACACTATTGATGAGTGTTCCATCACTTCAATGCCCCAACTATGGCAAGCCATCCCAGCCAAAAGTAGGCCACCAGCAAGGCTAGTTGTCCAACAACATGTATGTGGGTGCAACACATCTATCGACATCATAGATCAGTGACAAAGCAATTATAATATGGCTAGAAGCATTAAGTCTCACATTCTTCCGAGAGCATGGGCACCCGAGTTCAACATTGAATCAGGAGCATGACGTGAGCCGTCGAACTCAAGCAAATTAACCAGGTTCAATAAAATTTATAATAAAGTGGTAAACTTGAATCGTCTCACAAGGAATTTTGTAAAGGAATTGACCGCTTAATTAAAAATAAAAAGGGTTTTTGTTTTTAAATTCGATTAAAATAAACAGGATGTAAAGAGTGAATTTTTCAAATTAAAAGCAACAAACCCAGAATTGTGATTCATAGGAGATCCGTCATTGGACGAATAATTACCAATTTTGTAGTTGACTCTAAGTGAGTCACAATCCTTGCATTTGCTTAGGAACCCCTCTCTAAACGATCGCCTAGCGCTTGGTTGAATTCAACGCGTGTAGTCGTGCGAACGTAGAGTATCAGCCCGATTGACTTGAGGTCATTGGATTAATCAACTTAATCATTAAATCTAATGATTAATCTCTTTCCAGAAATGCCAGTGTATCTCGTATTCAACACCCACAATCATGCGATGTTCAATTCGAGATGGGAAGGGAAACAAAATCAGTCAAAAGGGAGGCTCAGATCCTACGGATTCAACCATGGAATCCTCAACTCTTGGGTTGATTAAAAAACGCTTAACCTAGCATGGCTAAATAAAGCAAAACGAAAATGATAAAGAAGATGAACAGAAACGTGAAATTGAGATATTGTCCAAAGCTGTCAATCGTACAACTCCAAAACGAAGACTACCGTATATTTCCCAATTTCGCCCTTTTGAACGACATTCAAACCGAGTTAGGGCTCCACTAAATTTGACCCGTAATTAAAATAAAACATAAATAAAACAGAAGCAATGGCCTTGGGCCTCGCGTACACTGGGCTCCTCATTACAATTACAAGCCTAACTAATTAAATAAAATTTCAGTATGTGAGTTAATTATCTGAGTTAGGGCACCCGAGCATAAAGTCTCATGCCCTTCTAAGGCCATCAGCATCGGCGTCTCTACAGGGTCAAGGCACATAAGTCCTTGCAATTTGAATGATCCTGACCAGTCGCAAGACATCATAATATATGGTTCTCACACCTTACTCTGTTATGCAATAAAAAAGTATTGCTTTAATTTATTGTAGGTATGCAATAAAAAGTATTGCTTTAATTTATTGTAGGTCTAAGCTGACATCCAGAGATATCACCTCCGACTTTAAACTCAAAAGCTATTACAAACCCGAAGACAAATAAGAGCAACAAGCAACTCGAAAAAGAAACCCGAAACCCAAAAGCAGTCACAAGTTGTATGTTCCCGGTATTCATATCATTTTGCATAACACTTAACACTATTTGATAGGCACGAGGCTCTACTTTCACCTTGGCATTTCGACGTCCCGCAGTGGCAGGCTGAGGGGGCTTTTGTTATGGACTATTTAAATTATCCCAACTTTTTCTCCTCACTACATGACATACAATAAGCATTTCACTCTATCACTCTCTCTCAATTTCTTTTCACTACACATAACCACCCACTAAGAATCACATCACATTATTAGTCACCTGCTAAACTATCCACTATGTGCACAACCTTCTATGCACTTCATCTATATATGTCCCTCTATAGCTAATGAGGGGATAATCTCTTATGTAAGCTCTCCAGTATTCACATATTTACAAGGTTTACCACCATGGCTACAACCTTTACACTTGTGCCCAGAGCACATCTTATTCACTATGTAAGTGATTCATGTAGGCACAATTGGATCTGCAAAAGCATTTTAGACCGTTGCGGTTTGAGATGCAATAGATCATCATCATTTTAGTGACTACTTATTGTAGCGAAGATCGTAAATGATGCTCCACGAATCGGTGTCCTTTATGTCACAGCACGAACTCATGAACTGATATCTTCTGCATCACAACACGAATAGATCTCTCTAGGTTCTGGTAAACCTTCCATGCTATCTCTCGAGAGGGAATGAGAAATGTGTAGGTATTTTTTCATATTTGAGCTTATCTTTTATGTTCAAGAAACCATAGCCTAAGTTCTTTGGGCTCTAAGCTTCTTGGACTCTTCTTATACTCTCAGCCCAATTGGATTTAAGTAAAAGAGCATAAACTCAATAATTTTTCACTTGTTCTTTTGGGTATAAACTTGAGTCCAAAACCTAAGACCATGTAAGCCACAAGTTATCATTAACCGAAAACCACCTCATCCCTTGTATCAAATTGGCCTGGGGATATACCATTTGGTATTAATCAAGGCTCCTGATAATCAACGAATGATTATCTAATTCGGTGCTACTCCACTTAAAGCCTGAACTCTAACTCCAAGATTAATAACACATGTAACATAAATGTGCATCGCCCCTTTGTAGAATGTCAATAATTGATTGATGAGTTTTTTATTACTCAATCTTATTTATTCCCTTGATTGTGGTAGTTTCTCTAATGGATTACATGCACTTGCATGTAGCTTTTTGTTCAAATATTATGGAATTTTCAATCTCTCTTTTAACTAAATCATGTTTTCTATTTGAGGTAACCTGACTCAATCACAAAGGTCAAAGATATGTTTCGTTTGAAACTTTTATATCTTTGTGTTCATCATCCTTTTAGTTCAATATACTAAATTCAATGGGATATAGGACATAGGTAGTAAAAACTATTTAAACAATGTACCTGAACAAACAAGACGAAGATGAACTTTGATATGTAACCGAGGAATCAATTGCATTGTTAAACCATATTTTAACCAAACAAATAAC